CGCTCAGCCCCTGCACTCCCCCCCTCCCCCCGGCACCCCCAGCAGACACACGTCGCCTCCTGACCCCCCCGGGGCTTCCCGGAGGAGAGGAATCCCCCCTCCCATAGAAGCACAGGGACGCCCCCATCCCAACACCGCCCGCAGGGGGAAGCCAGGACCCCCCCCCAAATCCGAGCCGTAACAGAAGCGCACCGCCAACCCCCCACCCCCACCCCACGGCCTTCAAACCGGGAACCGGCCCCGAAATCAAACCGGGCCCCGAAATCAAACCGGGCCCCGCACGGAGCCGAGCCCCCCCCCAACCCCATAGCCCCCCCCGCCGCCCCACCGCGGGGCTCCGGCCCAAGGCCTCGTGCCGGGGCCGTGCCGCGCCCCCCCGCCGCTCACCTTACACGCCTGGTAGCTCTCGAAGGCGCGCAGGGCGCTCTCCGTCAGCTTCACGTGGAAGACGGAGACGCGGGTGCCGCGGCCCAGCCGGCCGCAGGACAGCCCGTACCCGCGCTCCGCCTGCAGCGCCGCCATCTTGGGACCGTCTCCCCCTCCGCGCCTGGGCCGCCGGGGCCTCCGCCGCCGCCACGCCCCCCTCGTGCATTATTCATGAGGCGTCCGGAGGCGGAGCTCCTCTGGCCCCGCCCATCCGGAGAGCCTGTTGCTGGGGGAAGGAGGTGGGCAGAGCGCGCTCCCGTTGGTCGAGCTCCGCTGGACGCCGCGGCGGATTGGGTGACAAGAGGGAGGGGCGGGGATATGCAAAAATGGGACCGCGGGGCATGGTGGGAAGGGTGGTTTGGGGCGGCCGCAGGGGGACTCGGGGGCTGCGGGCGGGCGGTGCCCGGAGGCGATTGGGGGTAAGCCGTCCTCCCCCCTCCTCCGGCCGGCACAACGCCCCGAGGGGCCCAGGCACGCTCTTCCCGCAGAGCATCTGCCCCTGGGCACGGCCTGGAGCTACGCAGGCCCTCCTCCCACTAAGGGCAGGGAGAGCCCCCCCAGGGCAGCCTTGGGGGCCGGAGTTGGTTTTATTCCCACGTGCGTGACTCCCCCCATCCAAGCAGATTCCCCACTGCCCCTGTTGCGGTGCTGCACCCAATGCTGGGAAAGAACAAGGCCCAGCCGTGCACGAATTGTCCTTTATTGGGAGTTCACAGTCGGTTCAGGGTGGGGGACGACAGTGCGTACGGCCCCTGGGAGTAGAGCTGAGAGCGGGGCTGGCGGCTGTGGGCCCATGGCTGGGGGGAGCTGCAGGGCAGAAGGGGGACCCCGCAGGGCCGGACCTACAGGATCAGCCAGGACACTGCTATGATGCTTCGTGTCCTTCACTCCATGGGGTTCTTTGGCTCTCTGTGGGCATTGCACAATGAGGAAATGCTGAGGGGGGAGCGGGACGGCAGAGCTGGGGCTCCCCAGCAGCTTCCCCAGCTCAGGGGGATCTCATTGCACGTGCTCCAGGCACCCCGCGTCCCTTAGAACAGGCTCACATCCAGCCAGCTTCCTCCAGCAGCCCCAGGAGCACAGCAGTGCCCGGGCTTGCTGCATCCTCCCTGGGACACGCTGCTGGGGACAGTCACTGCGTGCAGCACTCGCAGGTCAGGCTGCTCCTGATGCATTCAGGGCTGCGGGGGGTTTCTGCTTTGCCTGCGGCTCTGTCCCCAACAGGACGACGTTTGGGGGTCCAGGTGGTGGTCAGGGTAGGGGGGACGTGGTACCTCCTGCCAGGAGAGCATCTGTGAGTCCACAAAGAACGGGGAGGGGAGCAGAGCCCCATGGATGCCTCTGGCAGGAGTGAGGCACATCCCAGCGCCGGGCTCCCCACCGCTGTCCTCAGTTCCTTGCAGCGATGACCACAGATAGAGCCACGCCACCAAGCGCGATGGCTGTCGCACCGAAGAGCCACTTCCAGGGGATGGACTGAAGAGGAGAGAAATTAGCAATGTGACGGGATGTCCCTCAGCCTGCATGTGCAGCCCTGCCTGTTGGCACAGGGCCCTGGGGCAGCACAGGGCTCCTGACACATCTGAGATAACACAGCCCAATAAGGCAAGTGCTGCGTTGGCTCTGCCCGGCGCGTGGCCGGCACGTCGGAGGGGACAGCATGTGCTGCCCAGCTGACAGCGCTTTCCACCTGCACGGCCAGCTGGGAGCAAAGTCCAGAGCCTCCAGCTGCCATCACCAGCCAGAGCAGCAGCAGCACCGCAGCTATCAGCAATTTCCTGGCCCTCAGCCTGGGATGGTTCACTTCAACAGCCCCCTGCCCAGGAGCAGCACCACACTGGCCCTAAGGGACGCACCCCCTGCAGTCCCCACCCCAGGGGTGTCCCAGCGCTCTGCCATCCCTCTGCATGCCTGCACCAGCCCTTACCCAGGTCAGCTTGTCTTTGCACTTCACCGGGGCACTGCCGGTGCTGGGATTCCCAAGCATCTTCCTGTACATTTCTGTCTCCACTGTCTTCTGGTCCGCGTGCTTCTTCACCAGCTTTGAGAGCTCAGCATGGATGGTCTGGGGAGCAGAGTGCAGCATAGTGGTTATCAAACCCTGGGTGGAGGGGAGGGGCAGGGACCACAGTGCAGACAACAGCAGACTGGGGCCCCCCCAGCCATGCAGGTGCTGTTGGCTTGATGCTGTCCCACATGGAGGGGCTGCACCAGGCTGGCATGTGGTTTCCTGCCTGCTCAGAACCCTCAGAACCTTCATCAGCCCTCTGGAGCGATCCTGCCAAACCCTCCTAAAAATACAGTTCTGAGCTGTAGGCATGCCCCAACTTTTTTGTCCACCAAAGCTTCTCCTTGCTGACAGCCTGTTTCCTATGGAAGTGACATGAAGGAACAGCTGCTGGCAGTGCAGAGAGGAGCCTGAAGCTGATGGCAGGCAGCAGGAGAGAATTTTCTCCTTTAATCGAGGCGGAAAAGTTTCTGCCTCAGGGACAGACCAGCCAGAGCTCTCCCACATTTCTGTCTGTAAAAAGGCTGGGCAAATAGGCTTACACCAAATATGCTCTGAAGCCAGACTGCAGCAAAATCTGGAGGTCCTGCTGCACCCTGCACCATGGGACCTGCTCCATGGTGGAGGGCTGACATCCCCAGCCTGCAGTGGCAGCAGGATGTGGTGGCAGCAGCACACCTGTGTCACAGCTGTGCTGTGCCCTCTGCTGGGGATGCTGCGCTGCAGGCAGCTCTGATGCTGCCCCAAAGCAGCAGTACAGTGAGGAGCCAGGGCATTGCCAAGCCATGGCACCAGCAGCCAAGCACCTGCAAACACACCCCAGCAGCTTGCTGGGTTTGGTGTTTTGGTGTAGGATAAACAGCATCTCCATAAGGGTGAATTTCTGAGGGGTTAGAAAGGGACATGAAGGTCTGCACCAGTTAGGAAGTGCTGGCAGCCCCAGACTACCAGGTTTCCTCATCCAAGGGCAGGTGGAGCTGAGCATTTATTGAGTCTGTTTTCACCAGCAGTAGCCATAGCTGTGACTCACTAATGTGTGTTTAACACTGCTGTCTGGAGCAGCACTGCCACATCCCTTGAATCCCAGCAAGCAGCTGGAAAAGCCAGTAATTTGTTCGTGGTTTCACCGGTAACGTCACTGCTGGGCATTTTGATTTTTGCTCCTTCTCAATTAAAAGCTTCACACAGGGGAGCTGATGAGCTGCAGCCCTGCCAGCAGCAATGACGTGAAGGACAAGCAGGGAGAGCATCCCTCATCCCTGCAGCCCAGTTCTGCTCCCCTACCTCTTCCAAGCTGCCCAAGCACTACTTTGAGATCCCATATGCCCTTCCCCATGAGGGCTCTCAGAGCACAAGGTGCCTGGGTGCTCTGAAGGCTATTGAGCACCTGCAGGGCCCCATGCTGCCCATGACCTTCAGGCACCAGGGAACACAAGGTGAACTGTGATGTTTTGGTAAAATGCCCACAGAAGCGGATAAAACTGAGGATCCAATGCAGGAGCAAAGCCCCCACTGCAGGCAGCACCTCCCCCTGCTGCTCCCAGCCCTGCTTTTGCTGGGGCCATTTCCTGGCATTGCTGAGGCTTTTGACTTCCCCGAGGCTTCAGTCCTGCAGCTGATCATTAACCAACAGGAAATTCCTGACCCAGAGATTGCTCCGGCCTGGGTGCTGGACTGAGGTCTGGGCTTGCTGGGGCCACCCAGTGAATCACACTGCAGGCTGCTGAGTGAGATGGCAAGAACTTGCTCTGCCTCACTTCTCGCAGCAATGGCACAAGCCACCAGACCATGCAGGCAGAGCTGCTGAAGCAGAGATGGGCTGGCAGAGAGCCCTGCTACACAAGGGCCAAAGGGCAAAGAGAGTCTCGCAACATGGAGATAAGGAACACACGAGCTCAGCCATGTTCAGGTATTGCAGCACTGGGTGCTGGCACTTGCTACACCACCCCACGGCTGCCCTGGCCCTGCACAGAGGAGACTGGTGACAGCTATGGGGGACACTGAGGTTTGTAGGAATATGGAGACAAGGACAGAGCCCTGAGGACACCCAGCCTACCTTGTTTGAAGGCTCCAGCTTCAAAGCCGCCTTTAGGATGGGGATGGCCTCCCTGTACTCACCCTGCTGGGCCAGGACCTGGAAGGTGAGGTGGGGGTTGAGGGAGGTGACTGAAGTGTGGTCCCCACCCCTCCCCAATTCTGTCACAGAGCAGGGATGGCAGCACCTCACCTTGCCCTTTCGGAAAAGTGCCTTGATGTTCCCTGGCTGGTGCTCCAGAACAAGGTTACAGGACTTCAGGGCTGCCTCATAATGGTCCAGTTTAAGCTGAGAGGCTGCCAGATTGTTGAGACATTTCACCTTCACGTCCAGCAGTTCAGCCTCTTCATCTGGGGTGAAATCAACTGCAAAGACCCCAGAGGTGGGTTACAACATGAAGGAAGCGCAGGCAGCCCTCACTCACAGCAGCAGCAGATACCTTTTGAGCTGGAGCTGATGACTTTGAGAGCGATGTCGTAGGAATTGATGGCCAGCACATAATCTGCCTGCTGGTAGTAGAAGTTGCCTCGTTCCCGCTTGCGGTTGGCCAGGCCTATCTTCTCCTTCCCACTGAGCAGCTCCAGGTCTGGTGCATCCCGAGCCTCCAGCAGCTCCACCTCCAGTGTGAGTGCTGCGTTGGGTGGGATGTCAGGGCTCCTGCGGTGGCACAAAGCCATGCTCAGGCCTGGCTCTGCTACAAACTCTGCCAATCCCAGAGGTGACAGCAGAACCACAGGGGCTCCCCAGGAGCACAGGCTGTAGTAGTGGGGACTGGGGATAGCTGTCACAGCCCTGTTTAGGCCTACCCTATGTCGTTCCACACTCTCTGTGCTCACCTGCCCTGTACACCGTAGCAGTACTTGGCATCTGACATAATCAAAGCCGTTTCTCCCATCTCCATAAGCTGTACGCAGAGGTCCAGAGCCTACAGGGAGCAACGTTGCAGAAGAAGGTGAGCAAAGGGGCCAATCCTGACTCCAACAAGGACATCGCCAACCCTAAGTCTCCCCCCCAGGGTGAAGTTGCACACATCAGGGCGGCTTCCTCCAAGCCCCACCTGCAATACGTCGCAGTCTCCCAGGGTAAAGGTGAGGCTGGGGTTCTCCTCCACCACACTGCCATCCTCCAGCATGGCCCTCAGACGGACAGTCACATCCTGGCCCTTGCGGGGCCGGCTCTCCACCCCCTGACCTGGCACGAGTGTCTTCTTCTTAAGCAAGCCGCTCCCTGGGCCAAGAGAAGCCGGAGGTGGTCAGCCCACAGTAGGGAATGGGAAAACCCCACTCCCAACCCAACCTCAGCCTCTGTGGTGGTCAAAGCATCCTGGTTACGCCCTGCCGCCCTCTGCCCTGCTCTCACCCAAGACATCGAGCCACTCCTGGGGGTCTTCAGCTGCTTCTCCTTGGCCTCGCTCTGAGGACTGGGCGTTCTCCAGCACTGGTCCCCGTGCCCGTCCCACGTCCTCCAGCGGTGGCAGCTCGCTCAGGTCGTCCTCGTCCTCCTCCAGAACCTCGAAATCCTCCGCGCCGTCCAGCTGAGCGGCGCCGACCGCGGCCGGTTCCGGGCCGGGCGGTTCGGTGCCGCCGCCTGCCCGACCCGGGGAGCCGCCGCTCGTCTCCTCCCCGCCGGAAGCCATCGTGGCAGAGCAGGGAGAGCAGCGACCTGCGGGAGAGAGGAACAGTCGGACACCGCGATGAGGCCGCCGGCACTCCGGAGCGCACGGGGCTCTCCGGCAGGGTTGTCGGGGCCGGACCGGGGAGGCCCCAGGCACCGGTTCCGGCCCCTGGAAGCGCCGCCCCGCGCGCCCCCCTCCACCACGTGCTTTTCTCCCGCGCGCGCGCCCGGCGGGGGTCCCCGCGTCACCGCCCCCGTCACGCGCCGGGGCTCCCCCTAGCAACGGCCGCCGCGCGCCCCCCGCCGCTCCCACCTACCCGCGAACCCGAGGCCGTTGGCCCCGCCCCCGCGCTCCCATTGGACCGCTGCCTCCCTCCCCGCCGACGCCATTGGGTGACGCCGACGCTCCTCATCGACGCGTCGAGGGCGGCGCGCCGCGGACTTAAAGGGGCCGCCGCACCGCACCTGCTCAGCGGGCCCGGCACCCCCGCCGGACCGGTGTCCCCGCCGCCCGTAGCTCCGGTAGCTCTCGGTGCCCCGCCGCCGAGGGCTGCGGGTGCCGGAGGCCCCCAGAGGTTTCCCGCAGCGCTCAACCCTCGTGCGGCCGGGCCATCGCCCAGGAGACCCCCGGCTCTGTGCTCCGGTACCGAGGCGGCCCTGCGGCTCCCGGTTTTCCCCCCGGCCCAATCTCCACCACTTCCGGCCCGGCTCCGTGACGCACGCGCGCGGTGACGCCACGGGGTCGCGCTCGACGTGACCCCGCACCCGGAAGCGAGACGCGGCCGCCGGTGCCGCTCCCGTCATGTGAAGGGAGAGGGAAAGGAGCGGCCCCCGGTGCTGCCGCGGGAGGGGCGGGGCTACCGAGAGGGGCTCGAGCCCGCGCCGTTACCGGGAAGCGGGCGGGGCGAGGAGGGGGGGGGGGGGGGGGGGGGGGGGGGGGGGGGGGGCTCCGTTACCGGGCACGGCGGGGGCCGGGGGTCCCGCAGGCAGCGGCGCGATGGAGCCCACGGCCTCGCGGGTGTTCTGCGGGCGGGTGCTGGGCATGGTGAACGCCGAGGACGTGAACGCTATCATCCAGGCTCAGAAGAACATGTGAGTCCCGGGGGAAGCGGGGTCCCGTGCGAGCGGCAGCCCTCGGTGCCCCCGTGTAACCGTGGGAACTGCCGCTCCCCACGCAGGCTGGATCGCTTCGAGAAGACGAACGAGATGCTGCTCAACTTCAACAACCTGTCGAGCCTCCGCATGCAGCAGATGAACGAGCGCTTCCTGCACCACACCAAGACCTTGGTGGAGATGAAGAAGGATCTCGACAGCATCTTCCGTCGGATCCGGTAGGTGGCGGTGGGAGGGGATGGCCGGGTGGCCTCGGGGGACCTCGAAGGGATTTGTGTGGGTCCGTCTGTGAACCCGGCTCTCTCGTCCCGCAGGGCGCTGAAGGGGAAGCTGGCCAAGCAGTACCCGGAGGCTTTCAGCAGTGAGTGTTTCCATCGGTTCTCTTCCCCCGTGAAGGTTCCTCCTGCTCCTCAGAATGCACCTTCAACGCCGCCTTTGGGAGTCGGGGCCTTTAGGGCTGCCAGCACACGGTGTTAAGAATCTGCAGAGCTTTTTTCTTGTATTGATGTGGATGTAGGAAATCACAAAGCCACGAATGGCTGCTCGTTTAAGTGGGATCCATTTTTTGTTGATTATTGCTACAAGCAAAGGAGCAAATCCTTCTGCCAAAGCAACCCCCATAGCCAGCCTTGCAGCACATCATGTTGTTGAGTGCAGCTGAGGCAGGTATTAATGTCTGCATCTTCCTTTCCAGACATTCACGAATCTCCTATTCTAGAAGACGACGACGACTTCGACCCAGTTCCAAAGAGCACGACAACCACCATTGCTACCTCTGAGCAGAGCACGGAGTCCTGTGACACGAGCCCTGACATCATCTCTCCCACCATGAGTCAGGATTTTGAGGATTTATCACAGGGCCAGTACGATTTACCCGCTGTGAATGGACAGAGTCTGACAGACGAAGACACTGCCAACGACCTGGACTAAGGCACATGGCTCTGCCCCATCCCTGGGGCCCCCAAGAACTCTCTATCTTGTATTTATATTTGTGTGTTCCTTTGGCCATTTATTTTTGGGAAGAGATGGCTGAGTGAAGAAGGGGGTGAAGGGTCCCTCCTACCGCCTCAAACCTGCCACTGTAGCGCAAACCTTGCAACTTAATATGGGCAAATAAGTAAAACGAGGATTTGAAAAGCCTCCTGTCCTTTTTTTTTGTGCGAGTGTCCGGAAGAATCAGAGCCAGCAATGTGTCCTCACAGCTCAGGTTGGCAATTTTGGGTATCCAAAGCAGCGTGGCCTGCAGGTCGGGGAGGGGAATCTGTTCATCTGCTCTGGTGAAACCTCACCTGGAACGCTGCATCTGGATGTGGAGTCCTCAGTACAGGAGATACGCGTCCCTCGCTGCCCCAACCTCGGCTGTGTCCCCCCCTCCCCCACAGCACCTCAGGACCTGAGGTGCTGTGGGGGAGGGGGGGCACAGCCAGGGCCGGGCTTGCTGATGCCTGCGGGAGATACGGCGGCTGGGACGGTTTGAAACGGAGGCTGATGGACGCAGGGACGTAGAACCGAGCCCTAGACCGAACCGTGCCGGTACCGAGACCCGCTCCGCTCCCTCACACCGCACCGAGGCGCTGGCTGACCGCGCATTGCGGCTGCGCGGAAGTGGGAGAGGATGGAGCGGAAGTGGGAGGGTGGAGCGGAAGTGACGTCACGACCGGTGACTTCCGGCTCCGGTCGCTCTTTTCTCGACGGCGAGGCGAGGCGGTGCGTGCGGCTGGGCCGGGCTGCGCGTTGGGAACGGGGATTGGGGCCGAGCGGGGGGGGTTACGGAGCGGGATTCGGTCCTGGGACGGGTGGGGGAAGTCGGGGAGCCGCGATCCGGTGTTGGGACGGCGGTGGTGGGAGCCTGGACTTGGAGGGTGGGAGCCTCGGCCTCCAGGGTGACGCGGCTGCTCCCTCCCCCCCCTCCCAATTCCTTCCAGGCGGACCGGTGCCAAAATGCAGATCTTTGTGAAGACGCTGACGGGTAAAACCATCACTTTGGAGGTGGAACCCAATGACACCATCGAGAACGTCAAGGCTAAGATCCAGGACAAGGAAGGTATGCTTAGCCAGGAGCCCCCGCGGCTGCCCCTGCCTCTCTTCCCCTTCCCCCCCCCCCATGTTCTCATGTAATGGTTCTCCCCCACAGGGATCCCCCCCGACCAGCAGCGCCTGATCTTCGCGGGGAAGCAGCTGGAGGATGGCCGCACACTCGCCGACTACAACATCCAGAAAGGTGCCGTTGCTGGGCCCACTGTGGGCTCACGGGGGGGGGGGTTGGCTGCTTCTCAGCCTCCCCCCATGATGTTTGTCTCCATTTCAGAGTCCACCCTGCACCTGGTGCTGCGTCTGCGCGGGGGCATCATTGAACCCTCCCTGCGGCAGCTGGCCCAGAAGTACAACTGCGATAAGATGATCTGCCGCAAGTACGGCCCTGGTTTGGGGGTGCCCATATCAGCCCATTTACACCTGTCACCCCCCCGCCGTGCTATCCATGCACTGCGATTCATCAGGTCCCCCCCAGGAGAGGCTTTAGGCCCCCCGGTGATGGGCTCTGTGCTCCTTTCCAGGTGTTATGCTCGCCTCCATCCCCGTGCTGTCAACTGCCGCAAGAAGAAGTGTGGCCACACCAACAACCTGCGCCCCAAGAAGAAGGTCAAATAGAGCTGCTCTGCACCACACTGTGCTCTCCTAATAAAGCATCTGCGTTCGAACCCTGTCCTGTCTTTTGTACCCAAACGGAGTGCTTTTCCATAAACGCGGGGCCGCGGCAGGGAGCGCGCCGGGGCTGGGTGCTGGGGTTGTCCCGGTGCTCGGGGTGGGACTGAAGGCTCTCTTGGCGGGAGAGGGGGACCGAGGCGCTGCCCGACGATGCCTGCAGGTGGCGGCGGTGCCGCGTTGTGCCGTGCTCCGCCCCCGCCGGGCCTGCGCGCTCCGCTCCGGGAGCGGCCCCGGCCATGGTGAGCGGGGCGGGGGTGTTTCTAACCGTCTGGTTTCACGGGGCTGCGGGTCCCGACGTAACCGGAACCGGGCTGTACACGCGTGGCCGGGGGCTCCGGTAGCGGTACGGCGGAGGTCGGGCGCTCCGTGCGCGGTTCCGACCCGGCAGAACCGAACACGCGGGGTGGGAGCGGTGCGGGCAGCGGCGCTGTGCCGGTGCCCCACGGCCCTCTCTGTCCACGCAGACCGACGAGGCGCTGCGGGCGCTGCTTCAGCGCTTCTACGCTCTGCAGGGGGAGCGCGTGGAGACGTACCGGCTGTTCGAGGAGTGAGTACCGGGACGGGACCCCGCGGGGATGGATTCCCCCATCCTTCCTTTACACATCCGTACGGAACGAGCCGCGGGGCACAGAAGGGCAACGGGAAACCAGACAGTCACCCCCGGTGTGAGCACGGGGAACGGCACTGCGTGGCGACGGTGACATTTTTTTGCTGCCTTTCTTCTGCCTTCGTTCCCCAGAGGTCACCGCGCATACCTGAGCAGCGCCCCGCACTACGACTTTCCTCGCTACCGGCAGTTGGTGCACGAGGTGACGGCGGCCTTCAGCGGCATCTCCCGCGAGGTGCTGCAGCTCCAGGGCCGCCTGCGGGGTGAACTCGGCCGCCCCGACCTCGCCCAGCACCTCACCCGCCTCCAGGAGCGCGAGCAGGAAAAGCTGCAGCTGGTGAGTGCCGGGCACGGGGGGTCGGGGGGGTCCTGCTGCCACCTGAACGGGGTGGGCTCAGCCCCCGTGCATCCCCCTGCAGACAGCACAGCTCCAGCTGGCCCGGCAGCGGGCGCAGGATGAGCCCGGCGTGGACACCCATCAGCAGGAGGTGCAGGAGCTCAAGCACAGGTCGGTGGGCACCCCCTGCTCCCCTCCTTTTGGGGCTGGGATCCCCCTCCCCGCCCTCCCTTCCCTCCAGCGGGGCCGGAGGGGGCCCAGATGGTGCCTTCAAAAGAGCTCTTGTTTGGAGCCCTCCGGATTGTTTGGCGATGCCGCGCGGCCGCGCTCCCATCAGCCTCCCTGGGCTGAGTGTTTCATAAACAGCGCGGGGAGCGTGAGGCGGCCCGGATAATACGCTCCATATGGGCTTTATTTATAGTTTCCATCCGCTCTTGTAGGCTAATTAAAACCATCGAGGCAATCAGCGAAATTCTCCAAGACCTCAAGTACGATTCGGAAGAAGCCGAGTGATGGGCGTCCCCGTGGGAATGGCTGAAGGGGCCGGACAGCAGAGCACTGCGGGGCCCCCTGCCCCACTCCCACCCCCAGCGAGGTGGGCACCTGCCCCCCCAACTTGGCCCCATCCCTCCGTGGGGGAGCCTCCCCCCACATCCTGAGCATCCCTCAGCAGGTGGGTGCACATGGGGCAGACCTGTTCCCACTCTCTGCTGAGCACAGTGGGGCTTGGAACCAGGGGACCCTTTTCTGAGCCCCCTGGGTGCCTGGGGGTCCCCATGGGGACAGACACTGCCATTGCTGCCCCAGGTCCTGGGGACATCCTCTGCCCTGCAGACACTGGGGGCTGGCGCTGAGGATGGAGACAGCACCCAGCCCACACCTTTTGTGGTCACCTTCAATAAAAACATCCCCTGAGCCGTGTGGTCTATAGGGTTTGTACCCTCCCCCATCACCACCCACAGCCGTGTCCCCAGATCGGTCCCCCGAGGAGTCCAGGGACGTGGTGACATGGACGTGGCCCCGTCCCAGTGCTTGGCTGCCCGCTGCGTCCCCGTCCCCGTGCGCTGCTGCTGCTCCACTGACGCAGGCCCCGGTGGGGTTTAACGAGGTTTATTGGCATTAAGCTTAAATCTGTTCCTAATTGACTGAAATGTAACCAAAATAAGGCTGGTTTGAATCAAAATCAGAGCAGGCACTGGGCAAACCCCAGCAGCCTCAAACCAGCCCCACACAGCTCTCTGGGGACAGAAACCCCATGTGCTCACACGCGGCCCCACGGGCACCCGTGGCCCCTCCAAAACACCCAAACTGCATCCTGGTGGGGAGGGCTTCACCCCCCAGGTTTGGGGGCCACGGGGAGCTCCCATGCCCCCTTCACCCCAATTGCTGCTCTAGGTCGTGGTTAAGGAACAAAGGCTCCAGGTGAGGCTGGGGAGTCCCTTCGCTGCCATGGGGGCTGTGCTCCTGGGGGACACGTGGCACTGCCACCGCCCCCAGGGGGCTGCCAAGGCCAGCCCCAGCCTCCCCCCTGGGCAAAACCCCCCTGCAGCGGGTTGCAGGGCCGCGCCGAGCTCCGGCCACTGCTGAACCCCCCCCCAGTGCGGTGTGGTGGCAGGGACGGGGCGGGCGGCCCCGGGGGGGCTTTGGGCACCCGGTGCGGTGCTGCCGGCGCTCAGCCCTGCGGGAGCTACAACTTATCGCCGGGTAGAACCTGCAGAGAGAGCAGGGCCCTGCTTCGAGGCCACCCTCGGAGAGGGGGACACCAGGGGGGTCCACAGCCCCGCGGTGGGGAGAAAGAAGTGTGAAAGGCTCCTTACCTACCTGGTTGCGTGTTTTGTGGGATTTCTGCAGCCACACGCGCCACTGGTCGTACAGCTTGATGCTGAGGTTGGAGCAGCCGTAGGAGTGCTTCTTCACCCACCCAAAGAACTGCTTCAGCTCCCGCCGCAGCGTCGTGTTCTGCTCGCCTCCCTTGGGGTCGCAGCCCCCCGCCGTGCGCTCTGCGGGGACAGGGAGGGGACGGGGGCTCAGAGCAGCGCTGGCGGCCCGTTCCCAGTGCAAGGAGCAGAGGGAGGACTTGGGGTAGGGAAACGCGTGGCTCTCCACCTCCCTGCTGGGAAATCAGAGCGGGGAATTGGCTCCTTTGCAAGAAATCCAGGTGCTGGGCACACAGCGGGAACGGCCTCAGTGTGTGCACAGGAAAGGGGGGGAGCAGCTGGGGAGGGGGCTCAGGCAGCAGCGCTCACCGCTGCGCGGCGTGGAGGCGGCCGTGGGGTTGCTCCAGTCGCTCCAGATGCCGGCCTTCTTGGAGCCGTAGATGCCGAAGGGGTTGCAGCGCACCTGGACGAAGTAAACGGTGCCGGGGCGCAGCCCTGCCAGGCGGCACGAGGTCTGGTTGCCCACATCATCCACCACCTACGGAGCGAGGGCAGGGCTCAGAAGCCCGGCACCAACCCACAGCTGGGCAACACCGCCCCATTGGTGCCCCCCAACCTTCCACTCCGAGCTGTCCTCCACGCGGTACTGGATCTGGTACTTGGCTTGGAAGAGGAAATCCTTCAGCGCCGGTGGGGAGCTCCAGCGCACGCTCAGCTGGTCCTCCAGGTCACCCACACGGCTGACGTGCACGTCGGATGGCGGGTCGGTGGTGACTGCGGGCACACGGGACAGCAGTTCCCGATGGGATCAGAGCCAATCCCAACACCACTTGGCTCCAACCCAACCCCAACCACCCTCCACGGTTTGAGACCAACCCGACTCCCCCCTGGGGCCCCGGAAGCCAACACTCACCCACATCGAGGATGTCCAACATGACGACGTCGGACACGGCCACCCCCAGCCGGTTGGAGGCCTCCACCCAGATCTCATAGGGCGTGAAGAGGGCCAGGTCCTTGGGGATGTGGCAGGAGTAGGGCCCGGCCGTGTGGTATTCCTGGCACGTGTTGTCACGGCCGTACCACCTGTGATGAGCACAGCCCCGGGGCTGTGAGCCCAGCGGGACCCGCACACCTGCCCAAGGAAAGCACCGCGCCGGGCCCGCGCCTCGTTTATCCACCACTTAACGCCGTCAGCAGCGGTGTTGGGTTACCGTCCCCACGCCGCCCCGAAGCTCCCCCTGTAAGCCCTCAGAATCCCACGTTCACACTGGGAGGAAGGGAAGGAATCCACCCGCGGGCGCCTACCGGAGCTTGTACTTGAGCGTGTAGTTGGTGTGCAGGAAGGTCTCCCCCTCCGTCCCTGGGGCCCACGTGCAGGTGAGGTCCTTCATGTTCTTGGACCAGCAGGAGATGTTGACTGGTTTTTCTGGGGGTACTGGAAGAGGACAAAGGGACAACGGGACGTGAAGGGGCTCCGTGAGCGGCACCCAAAGGGACCGCATGTTGGGTCTGCAAGCCAATGCCTATTGGGGACGGTGCCACCAACAGCCCCACAAGGTTGGCGTCGCCGAGACCCCCCAACCAGCCCCATGGGGCAGCTGGAGGAGTGCAGCCCGTGCTGAGCAACAGAGCTGTTTTCTTTTGGGAACAGCAACCGAAATAAATAAATAAATAAAAATAAGCGCTCTGTTCCCAGTTAAGCCTCTGTATTCTTAGAACGTAAAATCATCCTTAAAATAGCCCGAGATAAAATCTTAACGATTATTGATTCGGACAACTGTAATTTCAACACGAGGTGCCAAAACCTCCACGCAGCCTTGGGGCGACAGCGCTGCGATGAGGGGCAACGGCACCACGATGGAGACGGACGGATGCGCCCAACGTACATCCAACATAGAGGCAGGAGCCGGCCAGGATGCCGCCGTCGCGGCTGTGGCACACCAGGTTGTCCCCCGACTGCTGCCGGGAGCCGTTGAGGCGGGCGAGGGCCACGCTGAGCGTGGTGGGGCCGAGGGTGGTGTAGGAGGCAGCGGGCAGACGGCGGCCGTTCAGCGTCCAGTACAGGTCCTGCGCGCGCAGGCGGAGGTCGGCGCTGACGGTGCAGGTGGCGGTCAGGGAGGAACCGATGAGCAGCGTGGGGTCCTGGGGGGAGATCACTGCAGGGTCTGCGGCCGGAGACAACGGGAAGGGGAGCGATGCGCGGCGCAGCACGGCACCGTGGGCGCTCCCCGTGGCTCCCCGTGGGCTCGGAGAAGCTGCGGTGCCGTTGTGGTGCCCGGTGCGCATCGCTCCGTGCCCGGTTTGGGGCCGGGCTCTGGCTTTTCGCCCCGTTTGAGAGCAACAATGGAAAGTTTGGGGGCGGTTTGGTTTTTTGGGTTTTTTTTTTTTTTTCTATTGCTCACCGGCGTCCCTCCGCGGTGTGCACCGCACCGCTCAGCGCCCTAATGCAAACCATGTGCTGCAGCACTGCGCTGCGGGCTTGTGGGGGGGAGCCCACATCCCTCACCGGGACCCCCCCCTCCTCGGCCCCCATTGCCCTCACTTCACCGCTCATGGAGGAGAGCAAACCGCGCACCGAAAGGCTTCAAAGCACAGCGGGCTGCTCGCACGTTCCGCAGGGGAAAACGACCCGGGGCTGACATCCCCCAGCACTCATTGCCGAGGCGCTGCGGGGCCGCGCGTGCCGGGCTAATATTGCTAATTACCTCCCGGAAAGCGCCTCGACCTCCGCTCTCCTTCGACCTCCCGGCCCCGATCGGCTTTCAGCGGCAGCTCAGTGCGGCCCCGCGTGCTCCTCAGTGCTGGGGGGGCTCCTAACAGCCCCCACACCCGGGTGGGCTGCAGCCCCCACCACCCCTCAGTCTCCCCCCTCCCCACCCCGGGCAGCCCTCGGCCCCAACTGCAGCCGATCCGACCGCCTGCAGCACAAAGCACGCCGCTCACGGGCCGCGTCCCTTTGGCTTTTCTCCTCTCGCAGTCATTCCTTTTTCTTTCGCAGCCACATGTGTTATAAAAGGGAAAAGTGTGAAGTTTTCAGATGGGAACGGAGCGGGTCGGGGGGTGGTGGAATGCTCAGCGAGAATACCTGCGCGGGGTTTTATTGCCTTCCTATTGTAAAAAAAATAAATGCTGCTCAGGTGTTAAGTAACGCCATAAAGTAAAAGCACATTTCAGGGTGTCGGGAACGTTTGCGCTCCTCTTCCGAAGGGCCGGATCGCCTTTCGGTTTTACATCGAGGCGTTTTAAGGGCTGCGAGAGAAAAGGGAAACCCCCCGCTCAGCGTCCGAGAGCTCCGACACGTTTATCGGGGCTCGCGGAGATCGAAAGCAACGATCGCTCCGAAGAACAAAAGGAGATTTGGGCGGCGCTGAAAAAAAATAAAGCAAAATGGGTGTGAAGCGACGGGGCCGCGTCCCGCTGCGCTCCCCCCCTCTCGCCCTCTCCTCCGCCGATGGCGGTTCTGGTGCCCGTCCCTCGGCTCGCGGCATTCCAGCGCGGAACTTCGCTCTCTAAAAGGAGATTTGGCTGCGCCCGTTCCAGCGCTGCCGCACGTCGGGGCCGCGGGACCGAACTCCGACCGTGGGACAAAGGAGGTGGGGAGCGCGGGGGCACCGCTCGGCGGGACGGGACCTGGGGGTCCCTGCGGCCGTGGGGCGGGGGAGCGGCGGTGAGGCCGAGCTCTGGAGCGCTGTGCCACCCCGCAGCCCTACGGGCAACGAGGGATCCCGGAGAGCACTTTCCCTTCTCGATCCCACCGCGTTCTGCTTCCCCGCCGCGGCTGCTTTCGCAGCCCAGCCCCGATCAGCGCTCCGTGATACTTCCCGTGAATGACCCGCAGCGCTCGGGGCGCGCGAGCCGATGGAAGCGGGGCGGGATGGGGACCGCGGTGCCACCACGGTGCCACCCCGAGCCGGGACGCGCTGGGAGAACATCGCCCCGAGGAGCCGAACCTCCAGCGGTGGGGAACGGGAATGGGGCCGCTCCGCGCTCGCAGCCTCGCGGGACCCCAAAGGCACCGCGCGGGACCCTCAGCGCAGAACCCACCCCAGGTGTGGCATCTCCACGTCTGTCCCCAACTCCCCCCCGTCCCCCCAGTGAGGAACCCCCTCCAGGGACCCGCTCCCCTTTTGTGAGAGCGATCCGTTGTTCTCCGCAGGGGTGGGCGCTCCCTATTGTTCTGATGGGGGAGAAGGGGGGATTCATTGTTCTCTGGGACGGGGGGGAGGGGGGGGCTCATTGTTCTCC